TTAACTCCTTATGCACAATCATAAAAGCTAAATGTATATCATTTGCCATCAATTTGCATGGATTTATTTTTTTCATTATTTATTAATGGAGCATAACTATATATTTTTTTTTCATAAATACTTCTTGAAAATAGCATAGAAAGCTAAAATTTTAAATTTATGTAGTAAATATAGCTCCTTTTTTTAAGCTGTAGATGACTAGTTGTAATTTCATGTAAACATCTTGTGCTAAAATTTTTTCTGAAGTAAAACTTAGCTTATAATATCAATTTAAAATATTGGGTTGTTGGAAAAGTCATGACATATTTTTTCTGTTTCTCGTTGCAAAAATGCGTCATGACTTTTCCGACAACCCAATAGTAAAACTGAAAGATAAATCTTATTTATGTCTTATTCTAAGGTGCCTGGGGATCAATAAAATGATACTGAAATCATAGCATTACAGGGGAAAGTATATCTATATGTAAAAAATATATAAAAATCTTTCAATATTAGGTCTGCATCACTTTATTCAAAATAAGTAATCTTTTAACTATATGCTCTCTCATTCATTAGTTGAAGAAAAAAGAGTAAGCAAATCATCTGACAAAGATGAGCATAATTTTTAACAGCAACATGTGCGGCAAAAACTGTTTCTGAGAATTTTAACTAATGTGTTAAAACTTTGTTGCTAAAATACTTGGTAATCAGAACCACAGAGCCTTAAAGGTTGACTGGATTCAAATATCCATTCATGAAGGCAGCAGTTACCTTCCTTACTTGTAAAATATAAGAAATATTAAAATAAACTTTCTCCATAATTGCCCCAGAAAACAAAATGTGACTAAACTCAATTTTTTTTCCACGCATGAATAGATGCAAAATATTCATTGAGCTAATTATAAAAAGCAGGTAAAGATGATTATACACATTAATGGTTATAATGTCATATGTACTAATTTCTTTTAAGTACCTTAGATAGCTGATGTTTCACTCATCAAAAGTAAATACATACATACAAAAATACATGCATACATACATAGATAAAAGAGAAACAAAAGAACAAAGAAACAAACAAAAAATAGTTCAATCCTTTAAGTAGGGCAAGAATGTGTTCTTGGTAATATAGCCCAATACATCAGGGCCAGAAGTTGTGATTCTTCAGTTTTCTACTTTGTGAACCATCACTATTGTGCAATAGCAACAAAGGTAAGATACAGTGAAGGAGAACTTATTGCAGTTCCACATGGGTTTAGACAACTCTTAGAGGAACTGGCTGAGTGTCTATGAGGTATTAATGAACAGCTGCGATGTGTCTGGCATTGTACTAGGTACTCAGTAATAAACCTTAAAGTAGGAAGTTAATAGTCTGCTAAGGACTTGTGATTAATATCATTTTCATCATTGCAAAGTTAAGAACCCATCCTGGCCAGTGGTCCCTAAGGTCCTATTTTGTAGTGATCAGTTTGTAGTCATTGAGACCATTGCCTCTGGGGAACTGAGTGTGCTAATTATGAAGTTCATCCTTGGCAGAAAAAAAGAAAGAAAGAAACAAAAAAGTATCAGAGATAGATGGCTGGTCGGAGGGGCACTTGCCCCTGAGCAAATGACAGAAGAACTTTTAAGTCTCTTCTCCAAAAGGCAAACTTACTTCCCTTAGGCTTTCATTCATGGATACACAGATAAGGTTGATGGATTGCTGCCCTGCTGGCAATAATGTTGGGGGGAGTGTGTGGAGGGAGGGATGTCATTTAGCAATACACAATGATCATTCAAAACACTCTGCAAGGCTGAAAAGCAAAGTCACTTGTCAAATTCTTACTTATCAAATCTTGCCATTTCTGCATGCAGTTATTGTGCATAAGAATGAGTGTGGCTATATGGAAGAAGAGATGGCTACATGGAACCAAGACAAAGGACAGGTGAAGAAATGGCAGATAAATTTCCAAAGTAAATTTAAACCCAAAAGAAACAAAGCTTGTGAGATTGTAAAATTCATACAGTGATAATCACTTCAGATAGCAATCTGGGAAATTAAAATCATCATCAAGTCACACTCACTGGGCAATGGAGGACCCTACTGTCATGCTCTCTTATTTCTTCCAGCTCAAAGCCTATTGTTTTCCTAAGCATAAGGCACATTAATACAAGGTCTCCTATGCTATTTCTCTGCCCATGTCCACTTTCTACAGCCCATCAAAAGTCAACTTAGTTGCCATGCAAAACTTAGCTCTATAGATGCTGGAAAAATGTCAATTCTTAGCCCACCAAAGTGCATATTTACAAATTATCAAACTGTTTCAATAACTACTTACAAATGCACTGTATTTACTCTTAATGATGCAATCAGTGATACACAGTTCACCTAAAGTCTCTCAGACGCAGTTTAGGTCTTAGTCACAGTGAACTCCTGGTAACAAGTGAAACCTGGGGGGAAGGGCCCTTTTACTGAAGAGGAGGGTGGTACTTACAGAAGATACTTGTGGCTCTTTAGTGCATCTTGGGGATCATGGGTCTGATATACACTTACAGATAAAAATACAAGAGTCAGGGAATCTTTTGTTAGTTAAGCTGGGGTGAAGAAGTTGTAGGATCAAGTCAACATTCAAGCATTTATTAAGAACCTGTTTTGTGCTCAGAACTGAGCTAAGCACTGCAAGTTTCCTGTGTTTTTATCTTTACATATTTTAGCAATCCACACAACTCCTTGGGTAACACACCAGGTAACCCATGTGGTCATAAAATCAGAAAAGGACAACCCTTGGTGTCGGCATACATACATTTTAGCTTTGTTTTATTCCGTAGCATGATAGATTGCTATTGATATGTATTTAAATTAATGTAACAGGAAGAGGATAGTTCATTTAAAATACAAAAATCTCAGTTTCAAGTTTATTTTTGTCACAAGCTTGGGATAAATAAAATCTTTGCTGCGATACAAGACCTACCATTATACATTTCATAGTAAAATTGTAATTGCTTTGTATTTAAATATTTAAGTACATTATATGTGCTAAAACTCAAACTGAAATTGTGGACTCTATACTTTTGCGAAAGTGTAGCCATGGCTTCCAAGGCCATCTTAGACTTAAAACAAACACACCAACAAGAAGCAATAAGTTCTGTGAAGCAGGATACTGTGAAAGCTTGTTAAACAGATTCTGAATGGCTTTATTCAAACAAATGATCATAGTATCAAAGTATTACCTATAAACAGTGTTTTTTTTAAATCCTTGCCTACTATTACCACTTTTCATTTCTAACTGAAATTATTAAATTTTATTGATTTAATTAAAAGTTGAGTGATTAAATTAAGAAAAGTTGGAAATTAACAAAGGAAATGGTAGAAAATCTATTGTACTAAAAAGTATTTCATAATGGTATAGAGATATGGATATCTTAAATAATCTATATAAGAAATTGATCAAGATTCATGATATAAATCTATAGCGTATATTTTAGAGTTATCTTTCAACTTCAATTTTACACAGTAGGTGATTCTGTTACTAAATTAATACATTATCATTTTCAAACTTCAGCTTGCATTTTATTGTTTCTTTTTAGCTGTATGTTAAATAATGTGTAAATTTCTAAAGTTAAACATTGATTCCATATTTTTAATTTGACTCATGAATTGCTAGCTTGCTGAGTGCGTTTTTATATCCAGTAAGAGTCTACATGTTAATGCACACAGCCCACACCATGGTGTGTTCCCGGTGTGCCAGGTGATTTGCTAAATTTCCTGTCAAAATCATTAAAGATATAAATTTTATATTATTTTAAATGGTGATAGAATTGATCATATTTTTAAAAATTATGCTAGATGACACATTCATATTCATATAGGTACTGCTGGATTACTATTATAAGCAGAATGTGATAAAAAATACAAAAAGGTTTTCAATATTTCTATTGTCGTGCAACAAATAGATACATTATTTGAGGTAATACATAAAATAAAGGGTATAAGCAATCATGATACAACTAAAAATACAATAACAATTATAATTAGAAAAAAATAGATTTCTTAAATTCTGGTGAGAACTTCAAAATTTTGAAAATTTGGGGAGGGCACAAAAGGCCATACATATTTTTCAAGCAGGAAAAATATTACGGTAAGTAGAAAAATTGAGACAACTACTTTTAAAAAGTATATTTTACTAAAATATTGATTTGAAAAGAAGTAATATTTTCTATCCACCTTTCTCCAAAAAAAGCTAAAAATAAATACGTACATGTTTAGATGGGTATAAAACACATCTGAAAAATAAATTTTGGGTAGATACAAAAAGCATGATGCCACCTTAATGGTGGGAGGAAAGAAAACATCACATAAGAGCATGAACTAAGTCAATACAGGCTTTAATTAAAATCGCATTAATGTCAGAGTGCTGGCTTTCTAGGTCTACAATGCATTCACTCCAAATATATATATGAGTTTACAAATAAGAACCACTAGAGTCCTGTGTAAGCTTCAAAATTTACATTTTTAAAGTTTGAGTAGCATTTAGCCAAAGGCAAGTGTATCATATAAGAAAGAGTCACCAAAAATGCTAGAAAACTAAAATCATCATTTATTATTTAATATAACTCACACTTGAAATTAATTCTGTAAGACATTATATAGCCCAAATTTTGATGGGGATCCCTAAATGGTAAGAGCAACAAATACACAAATTTTCTTATTTCTTTCAGGAGAAAATTCTATCTACTCTATGAAATTTCCCATCAACACTGAAATACCAGACAGTAAGTTGTGTGGTGACAGGTATGCTACTATCTTCTAAATGTTGCACAAAACATTTTATTTCATTATGTTGATAAGGTATTTAACATGGCCAGGTATCTACAGTGATGAAATTCAAGTTATATGTGATAACTAGAGTGACGTTTATTAAAAAAAAAAAAATCAAATTAAAGAAAGGTTTTTGGTTTTGGTTTTCCTGATTCTCCTTTTGGGCTGGGGTAAGAGTAAACAGAAAAGTGACCTAATTATATGGGGATCTCTAGGTGGTACTTACAGGCACGACAATGTTGTAGTGAATGCAGAATCCCGGTTCAGAAGGAAAATATTCATCAGATACAAATCTTATCCTGATTTGATTTCCTTTAGAAATCTGTTTTCCTGGCACAGTCCCAGAACCACACCAGCGCCCTAATATAGTTCCATCACTGGGGTCCTCAACTTCTACAAAATCATACCTGCAAAGAGAAACAAAAAGAAGAGAGACATAAAGCCACGGTCTGTGGTTTCGGCAATTCAAATTCCATGTTGGTGGGTGCAACGAGTCTATGGATCACAGCTATGAGTTCATACCAAATTTAACTAGATAAATGTAACCAGATATTCAAAAAAAAAAAAAAAGACACACTGAAAATGCATCCCTACTAAAGAAATATGTGTCTTTTTTTTCCCCCCGCCCCCTCATGGGGACGGAAGGGGGAGGGGGGGAGAAATATGGGTCTTTTAATCTAAGCCTTCCCCTCTTACTGTTAATGAACTCCAAATTCACTAAATAGCCATCTCAAAATATAACTATTTTGTATGAAGCAACCATATCTGACATTCGATTCATGGATTATTCCATTTAATTTCCATTTGGACATGACAGCCTTACTCCAATCTTAATTGTTATTATTGCTGCCCATTACTTTCGGGCAGTAACTCGTTCACCCTAGTCAGGCTCCTTGGCTCCCTTTCCTCATCTGTGATGCAAGCTTCTCTAGAACCACTTCATTATATACACATCCTTCGAATCTCACTCTGTACTGTGCTGTCTCCATGGAGACCTTTCTGGGTATTCTCAGTTCACCGTCATCTTTCTCTTTTTGATAAACACATAGTTTCAATATACATGCAAGTGATCCATCTTCTTACTGAGGCTGTTAAGTCACTGAAGAAAGAGATCTGTTCTTTTACATACTTTTATTTTACATTGCACTACACACAGGCTCTTAAACATAAGAAATAAATATTGTTTTTAATAGATGTTAACTTTGGTTTGGAAGGTTTAGAGCAGTAGTACTCAAGAGAGCAATATTACCCTTTTAGAGAATGCTTTGGAAATTTTGTAGAGGCATTTTAGGTTATTTCAATGATTGAGGGTGAGGAGGGCACTATCAAATTTAGTGGGCAAGGTCCATGGATATTCAACAATGGGAAGTCCCGAAAATGAGCAGGCCCAACTTGCTCCATGCCTTTCAAGTAGTTCACTGGGCATTTGTGTAGGTGACATTTCTGCTATTGTTCATTGGCGCCCAGAACCTAATTGTCTCACATATCAGCACGGATATGTTTGCAGTTTCAATTTAAGACCAACTTTCCAAAAATTAAACTATCAAATAAGTAGAAGAAAGTGAATACTTTGGAACTTTACTAAGAGTTACTATTTTGGAAAAAAAAAAACACCAAACATATCAGGAACACTACTTATACTAATTGCATCACAATTAAAACAATTAAACGTATCTATTTAGTCTATAATCATAGCTGTCATCATCACAATGATTCTATTTAAAAGATGCAAATATTTGACTACTTCCTTTTATTTTTAAGTGTAATTGTGCACGTGCATTTATGTATTTCAATACACTATTTTAACATTTATTTACTTTTAATATTTAATTACTTTGTCATTATCTCAGCTTTATATAGCATGCAGGCCACTGTATTTTAAAAATGATTGCACACATAATTAGATGATTGCTTATATGAATTGTACTTCAAAATACTAAAAAGGACATTGCAAAATGTGATACAAGAGAAGTTGAAAACCATTGGCAATTTTTTTATAAGTTTAAATTCAGTAGATACCAGACAACTAAAAATAATATATTTTGTGCTGTATTGAATTTACAGAAGAAAAAAATTGTTGACAAAGGACAATATATATAATGAACCAATTATACTCATAAGTCTTGGTCCCAAAGAAGCATCCAGAACTCTCATGGCATGTAACTTCACCTGTCTCAGCCTCATTTTCCTTGTCCTTAAATTGAGGATAATGCTCCCTAACTCACAAAGATGTTTTAAGAAAGGAAAAAAGGACAACACAGTACCTAAAACATTGTTAGCACACAGCTGCTACTCAATAAAGTTTGACCCTCATCTCTAACCTGCATCTCTGCCCCCACCCCACACCTACCTTTTAATATAACCTCGCAAGTTTGAAAGCAATAAATACAAAAACTTGAATACAAAGGGGAGAGTCTATTTCTGCTGTATCATGTGACAAGTCCAGGGTTATAAATTACAAATGCATGAGACAGCCAATATAACCAATCCAGGAATTTTGGTGTATGTGTGTGGTAGAACCAGGAAGTAGTGGGGTTGGTGGTACAGGAGTTGAGTAGAATAGACCTAAGTAGTTATTTCAGATATACAGAAGTTGATAACTACCATTTTAAATCAAAGGGTGATTTTTATATCAATATTTTTACTTGTGAAATAAAGCTTCTATTCATAGAAGATTTGTTTGTTCTGAGCCTATCTGACTACCACTGCGGCTAGTTTACAGAGAGCCAGATTTCAGGCCTGGTCAATCATTCTACAAGTTTTTATGAAGCATTGACTTGGTGCAAAGTGCTATGCTAGATTCTCCAGATACAAAGATGAAACTATAGCTTCTTTGGGCTCAGGGTCCATAAAACACTTTGGTGAGTGCTCTAATGAGGGGATGTAGGAAATACTGTGGAATACTGGCAGAGTAAGAGTAATTCTATACAGTGAGATTAAGGTCAGCTTACAAAGAAACATGTGGGCTGTCAATGAGTACTGATTGACCAGGGGTGAAAAGGGGGGAAATGGGAATGCCTTCTAGCGAGGCATACAATACATAAGATGTAATACAAGAAAGAAGGGGCCAGGCATGGCCAACTGTGAATAGAGGATGGGAGACAAACAAGTAGATGGAGATCAAACTGGAAAAAATCAGTGCAGGTGAGAAGGCATTGGTCTTTCAGAGTCAGATAATCAAATGTTATTTGGTAGGCCAAATGTTACAAACAGGTAAGCACAGTTTTAATAGGTAATATGTTTCTTTTAAAAAAATTTAAGTCAACATTGTAAAAAGTGGAATTTCAGAGAAAAATCTGCATTACAGGCATTTTTTTTTAGTTTGATGTTCTGGTAGTACTAAATATCATTAGTCTTAGTGTGACTCCATGAGAGCTCAGATCTCCAGAACTGGTGTCAATGCAAGGAGAGGATGTATCTGTTTTTAATTTACTGCTTTCTCCTTAGCACCTATGTGTCAGGCACATGATAAACACTATATCGGTGTTTGCTGAATGAAAGGGTGAACATTGGACCTTCATTCCTTCATACCAACTATGGCTGGGGCCAAATGGAAATAGCTTTAGACAGGATATGCTCTTGCCAATTTTAAAAAACAATCCGTATATCTCTTTTCTATATAGTTTTAAAATACCCAGATCCTCATTTATTTACATGACTCGCCCATGTAGGTATCTGAGTTTGTCTCCCTTGCAGCATATGAGGCACACACAGCCTTGGAGGTTTCCATGAGGGAGTAACATAGACAGAATCATCACATACTTGAGGAATGCCAGGAAACAATAACATTTCAAATGTGGGTAGAAAGGAAAGGCCTTTTAACAAAAACATCCTGAAAAGTAGCAGCAGGGAAACCACTGTGAGTGATGGCACAGAGCTAAGGAAACGGAGGCTGTCCACCAGAAGCAGAGCTGGTCAAGGGTGCCAAGTGCCAGGAAAGATCAAAGAAGATGAAAACCAAAATATTCCCATTGGTTTGGCAATAACGAAGTCATTTTCAGTAAACTGGTTGGGCAAAACACATAGTGCCAAACTTTTTCTTCACACCATTTTCAAAATACCTAGTATAATCTTTCTAATAGAAGCATTTTAAGAGAAAATGATATCACATGAAACAAACTTAAAACTGACATCTCACATACCTATCCTCCTGGAGTAAATTTAAAAGGAGTTTTTAAGTACACATGGAAATACCTGGATTAAAAATGTTAAGAATTTATTAAGGAACAAATAAGCCTTAAACTTGGTCTTATCTAACTTATATCCTGATCTAAAAAGCACTGTCCTGCGAATAAGAGGAGAGTGACAAGTATATTATTACTTTTTTCATGAAGATTTTCTACTGAGTTTGCTGCTATTAAAAAAGCAAACAAGGGCCAGCTGAGTGGTGTGTTAGTTAAGAGTTGGCTTGGGATGCCAGCTCTGAGCAGCAGGGCCCGGGTTCGGATCCCACATGTGGGCCAGTGACTCTGCGCCCTCTACAGCTAAGATGGTGAACAACAGCTCAACTTGGAGCTAGGCTGCCATGAGTCGCCAGCTGCAGTGGGGGCTGCCCGACAGCTGGCATGCACTTTTGTGAGCTGCTGTGAGAAGTCATCCAATGGCCAGCGAGGACTGCCTCAGCCGGGAAGAGCACAATGATAATACCAACATGGGCCAGAGAAGCGACATCCTCCACAACTAGACTAAAGAACAAAGGACAGCAACTTGTCTGTTCCCCTTCCCTGATTCCCCAATGCTGTTCCCCTCCCCCAATTCCCCAATAATATCTTTAAAAAAACAAAAAAAAACAATGGAAAACACTAATCTTTATAACAATTTCTGAATTTGCAGGTAGACAACTGGCTATTAATTCTTACATGCTCATACAAGTCTGAGCACATATGTTTATCACAGTGCTTTAAAAATCTACATAGTTTTCCATTCCATGAAGGTTAAATGAAGTGAATAGCTAAAAAAGTACTCTGTTCTTTGCTTATAAAACAGTAAAACTTAACATATGCTACTAATTGTTTCATAGTAAATTAGGCATTTTAAGGTTTTTTTCAGAAGTAGTATCATATATTAGTCATCGAATTATTCTACCATTAATTTTATGGCCATACCAAACAATTGTTTAGATGTCTATGGAACTGAAAATTATTAATATCATTATTTACTGAGACTTAGTGTTCCCTCTTAATGAAAACAGTAAATCCCCTTGATAAAGGATATAGTTATAAAAATAGCATTTTTTAAATTAAATCATATTTAAGATCATGTAAAATAGACCAAGGGAAGATCTACCTGGAAAGTATCCCCACGCCTTATTGTGCTATTGATTCAAAATAGAAAAACAAAACAAAACATTGCCACTTGATTCCATTTCTCTTTTTAACTTATTTGAGAATATAGAATGTTGTTAAAA